GGGGGAGACTGGGAGCCAGGACTCCTGGGTTCTCTCCCCAGGTCTGGGAGGGGAGTGGGGGGCTGGTGGTTAGAGCAGGGGGAGACTGGGAGCCAGGACTCCTGGGTTCTCTCCCCAGGTCTGGGAGGGGAGTGGGGGGCTGGTGGTTAGAGCAGGGGGGGGCTGGGAGCCAGGACTCCTGGGTTCTCTCCCCGGCTCTAACCCACCAGCCCCCACTCCCCTCCCAGAGCCGGGGAGAGAACCCAGGAGTCCTGGCTCCTAGCCACCCCCTGCTCTAACCACCAGCCCCCACTCCCCTCCCAGAACCAGGGAGAGAACCCAGGAGTCCTGGCTCCCAGCCATACCCGAGATGCCCTTGTTGTTCTCGGCGCTGGTGGGGGCGGGGGTGACCTTGACCAGGGGCGTGGGCAGCGCCCGGGGCTATATAAAGCCGGGGCCCCCGGGGCCCAGTCCCCACTGCCCAGCTCAGCTGCCCCTCGCCCTGCGGAGATGAAGGCTCTTGCGCTGTTCGCCCTGTTGGCCTGCCTGGTGCCGGGTAACCTTGGAATGTACTACGGCCGGTGCCAACTCGCCCAGACGCTGCAGCAGCTGGGCCTGGACGGCTACATGGGCTACAGCCTGGCCAACTGTGAGTGACCCCCCCCCCCTCACCGCCCCAGACCTCCCACTTCCCACGGGGCGGGGGAGGGGGGCTTCAGGCATTTCGTTCCCGTTTTAACAGGGGCCATTTCTGCACTTGTAGGGTTTTTTGGGGGGGTGGACAATTATTTAACGACAGGAGCCTCTGATTGTCCCACGGCGACGTTTGATAACCAGCAAAACTAGGCTGGGCAGACACCAGTGTTCAGGGGGTTTTATACTTTCGACGGGTCTGAGCACGGTTTATCTTGCACTTTTTTCTGATTTTTTAAAACCCCCCTTTCCATTCGCACAGTTGTGCAAAATTACGGGTTTTAAACCTTCCCTCCCCCTTCCCCCGTTTATCCATTTAAATGTTGATAGTTGGGCAAAACTGTGTTAAGTATTTTTCCTCCACTTAGATATTCACAGGTGCACAAAACTGGGGGGTTGCATTTTTTTCTGTTTCTAGCCATTTAACTGTTCACAGTGGCACCAAATTGTTTCAAGCCTTTTTTGCCCGTTTGTCCATTGACGTTTTGAGCTGCTCGAAACGAGGAGTTTGACGCGTTTTTGGGGTCCAACTTGTATCCGTTTGATTTTGCCCAGCCGCACGAAATTCGGGGGTTGGAGCCTTTTTTCTATTTCTAGGCATTGAACTTTTGACAGTTGTGCAAAACCGTTTTACGCATTTTCCCCCAATTTTTATCCATTTAGCCCAGGGGTGGCCGCATGCGGCTCCTTGTCTAGGTACCGACTCTGGGGCTGGAGCTACAGGTACCAACTTTCCAATGGGCTGGGGGGGGGCTTCACTGCTCAACCCCTGGCTCTGCGGCAGGTCCTGTCCCCCCTCCACCCCTTCCTGCCCCCTCCCCTGAGCCTGCAGTACCCTCCCCCCAGAGCCTCCTGCACCCCACGAAACAGCTGATCGGGAGGTGCGGGGAGGCGCTGATCCACAGGGCTGCCGGTGGGTGGGAGGCGCCGGGCGTCCAGGGGGAGCGGATGCGGGGGACGCCGGGGCAATATCCGG